TGTGTGTGTGTGCTCTTTATCCTCCTCCTAAGTACTGCTAGAAAAATTTCAAGCAGGTATGATGCCCCTTCTCTGCTTTTCTCTTTTTTATTACCAAGGAGCTCCCTAACAATGTTCGTTGGCCGATGGGTCTACAGCAAGGGGAGTAGCATTGATAGTCTTATTCATTCTGAATTAATACGGAAACGAAGTGAAGGGGAGGAGGGTGTCACATCCACCTCTTTTGGCTGTGTGTTGTTTCTTAAAGATGATATTGTAGAATGTCTACAAGAAGAAAAGCCAACATGTTGCCTCCCGTGCACTGAGGGAGATCTTCTTGACGCTGTAGTGCAATGGGCACGTGGTGGTAAGGCTTCACTGAGTGAAAATTCTTTGCCTCACACATATCAGGGGCGTTCTTCTTTTCCCTCCACCACTTCAGGGCCATGGACGGTAATCGAGCGCTGTATTGGAGATCCCTGTAGTTTTGGTGTAATTGCTGGGTTTGTTTTTCGACACGCCTTGAGTTTAGATAATGGTGATAATGGTACTGGAGAAAATATCAATGGTAACCCTCAGCAATATAGTTGTGGAGGTGGTTTTTTGTGGGAGTGGTGTGAATTGATAAACTGCGCCAGCATCTCTCAGCTCTCACTTTATATGGACTCGGTAATAGTGGCCAAGAACGGGGAAGTTGCGTGATGTCTAGTGTACCGATTTTTTTTTGTTTTGTTTTTTTTTATTTATTCTGTTTTGTGGGTTGCTATGCCGCTTTGCCACATGTGAAAAAGTTTGTTATCACACCATCTCACGTGTTGGGTTATTATTTTCTTTGCTATATTGTTTCTTTTTTTTCCCCTGTTGGTTAAATTGTGAGTAAAGTGGAGGCTGCTTGTTCCTATCTCGTTCAAATTGGATTGCAGTGCTAAAGGACATGCCTGGAAAGCGCCTGGTGAAAAATGGAGCCCGTGGTTCACAACAGAGTTACATGAATAAAGTAAAGTTTGATCCCTATCGCTACAAGCTGGACGATCAGAAGATCCCAGCAGCTGTGATAAGCACAATGACTAGTTTGTGCTGTCGGCGCTGTTGTGACATTCTTCAGTGGAAAGTGGATTATGGAAAGTATATCCCCTTGGAACGGTATCGAAAGTGCAACTGTTGTCATGAAAAGACTGTTGCCCTTTCGTACCACCACATCTGTCAGAAGTGCGCCATGGAGACGGGTCGCTGTGCGAAGTGTCAAAAGCCACCGATTGTGGGAGTTACAACAACTGATGCAGATAATGGCAAAGAGAATGAACATGAGGTAAATGGACTACGAAAGAGAAAGGAGGAGAGCGATGATGATGATGATGATGATGATGATGATGATGAATGCTATAATTATGATGTGGATGGGGAGGAATATGTAGCAAAGGATGATGCACCGAGCAAGTACGCTTTTGTGGACCAGGAAGATTCTGACGAAGAGTTTAAACCATTGCGCGGTTTAGACATTCGACAAGTAAAGAACAAAAAGGTGGCGGCACAAAGGCAACAGGAAAGTGATCGCGTAGCTCGTCTGAGAGAGCGCGAACGGCGAACAGTGCTCCGACGTGCAGCACAGGAATCAATGGGTGACGCAGAGCCAGAAGATAGCGATGAAGAGATCTGAAGAGGGTTTGCTGTAAGGTGAGCAGCAAGTAAACAGGTAATCCAGGAAAAAAAAAAAAACAAAGAGAGAGAGAGAAAATGTCCAGGGAATTTTGGCAACTAAATCGCGTTTAATTCTGACGAACGAAAAAAATTACCAAATATTGATAAAAAAAAAAAAAAAAAAAAAAAAAAAAAAAAAACTTTCTTTTTGTATTTCTGTAATGTAAAACAATACTTCAATAAAAAAACTTGTGCGATGATCTTTCCCCTCATTCACTTAAACTATAATAGCTTTTTTTTTCACATCTTTTCTTTGTTGGGGTCTTTTTCTGTAACAAGGGTACATAGGGTTTTTACGTTGATAAACATGAGCGTAGTCGGATCAACAAATGGTAGTGGCTCTCTTTGTTTTCAGCTCCTGCTGTATTGTTGTTGTGGTTGGAGCTGCATTTGGTTCATTGTGACATTGTCACTCCTTATTTACAAGGGTACAGTGCTCTACTTTCCACCAGCAGCGCAGCCGATGGAAATTGTCTCATCCTTCCTACTGTTAATGGTAGATGTCGCCGCTTTTTTTCTTGGTTCACGAGGGAATATCACAGAAGAAACAACCCCGATGATTTTCTCTATTATTCTTCTTCTTGTTGCAGTGCTGGGGGCCATGTACTACATGTGGTTCCAGACATATGTTATGATGCTCGATTTGGCTTTCTCTGCCACTCTACTTGCCTTTAACGGACTGGGGCTTCTAGCCGGTTTTTATGGTTTGCAGGCAATACTGCTTGCGAAACGAGCTCCGCGACACAAGTTTGCACCACCACCACCATCATCACTTCAGCAGCAAGAGCAAGAAAAAAATATGCCCACGTTTCTTCGCGATCATATTATGCAGCTGAAAAACGACTAGTCTTATGGGGCGATGACGTTTGTGTTTGTATTATTATTATTATTATTATTATTATTATTATTATTATTATTATTTGTTTTTTTTTTCTGTGTGTACTCTTGATTGGTTCCTGAGTTGGTAAGTGAGTCGGTGAGTGGGTGAGTGCGTGGGTGAGAAAGAGAAAATTGACAGGATTTGTTTTGTAGAGGGTTTCTCTCCATTGTTTGGTTTTAGTTTTTTTATTTATTTTTATTTCTGTGGTAGGAATTTTTTTTTTTCCTTTTTCTTTTACTAACCATGGACAGCTTGTAGAGGTTTCATAAATAGGGAATTTCTGCTGTTTGTAACTGAATTTAGTGGTACAAATAACAAGAACGGTATCTACAGTGTGTAGAGAACCCATTGTGGAAATGCGCCGGTCGATGTTTCTCTGTATCTCCCCGTCATGGCGGCCCCACTCGGAGCTCATACAGGGCTGGATAGCCGGGGCCTCCAGTGAGCCGCGGCAGCTGCAGCAGGCCCGCTCCTACATGTACGGCCTGCAGCTCGAGGCGGTGCTGGAGGAGGTGGAGGACGCGACGGACCTCGTCTACTTCATGCACCGCGTCTCGTACCCGGCGGGGAGTCATCTCGAGGCACGCGTGGGGGACTTTCTCGCTGCGGCCGCCGCCCAGTGCACCCGCGAGGACCTCCTGGCGGTCACCAGACGCCTGCAGGAGGCCCCCGCTGCCGGGCCGCTCTGGGCGCGGGTCCTTCTCGCCCGCCCGTGGCTCGCCGAACGCCTCCCCGCCCTCCTCAACGGCCTCTCACTCGACGAACACATCGCTGTGGCCGCCGCCGTCTGGCAGGCATTACTGCGATCCCAGCGAGACGCCCCATGTCCCACACCCACCACCACAGGAGCCGCACAGCAGCTAGCAGCACTCACAGCCCAGCGGCTCACGCGAGATAAGACAGGGCAAGGCGTTTGTCTTTGCGCCAAACTAGGAATTCCGCTCTCTGAGGAGAGTCTAGTCGCTATGCGGACGCTTATTCTGGCACAAACTCGCAATGGTCTGAATGCGACGCAGCTGGGGGAGGTAGCAGAGGCGCTTGCAGCACAGCGGTCAAGCGATACGGAGTGGATAGAAGCACTGCAAATGGCTATTTGCCAGAATCCTATTACTAGCATAGAAGCGCAGCACGCTGTGAGTATTCTTCACGCAATAGCAATGGTACCAGATACCCCAGTATATGTAGGATTTGAGAAGTTGTTGGTTCGACTTCTTCCTGATATGTCAGTAGAGGCTAGACTGAGTTGTTGTGAAAGTCTTGCGGTGCTTTCAGGTGTTGCACATGGATTACGTGATAAGCTTCGTACAACTTTGTACTCTGCAGTGAGTAAATTTATAAAAAGAGAATACAAGGAATGTAATGATGATATGATTTTGCGGCAACTGCGCGCATTGTCTCTAATTGCGTCAAAAGAAGCCAAGGTGTTGCTTTTGGAACTTGCGAATAATATGAAAGAGAGTAAACACATTTTATCACCAACTGCAACTCAAAATCTTATTCGTTCTATGTGGGAATTACAGGAATTTCCACCAGAACTTGTTTCACAGTGTAAGTCATCGTTTCTTCAAAATACATTAATGTCCTTCAGTCAGGAAGATGCTGCTTATTTGCTTTATGCTGCTGCTTATGCAGGGGAACCGGCTGATGGAATTTTTTTTAGGGATGCACTTAATCGTTTTGTCACCACGCGTAAATTTGATCGGCGAAGGAATAGAACTCAACAAATTAATATATTGCCTATTTTAACTGTGATAATGGTTTTACGAACATTTAGTGTTGCGAAAGGAGGACAACTCACAACTGAATCTAAAGTGTATTCAATGGTGCGTGACGCGGTAGAGTATCATCAACGTCAAGGTGTGATAACTGTAGAAGATGCTATCACCATTCTCAGGTTACTGGTACAGTTAAAAGTGGTAGACGCATCCCTGACAACAGTGCTACTGACTGGACTTTCAAAGTCTATATCAAGCATGACAGCTGTTCAGGCGAGCGGGTTGTGCGATGTATTAGTAGCCCTCAAATCCCGTGACGTCCTCATGTTCCGTGCCTTGCTTTCTCGTTTAGTGAAACTACATCCAGATCATGTTTGTATCACTAAGATTGCTTTTGCCGCGCGAAGGTTAAAGTTTATTCCGTACTTTCAGCAATCCGCGTTGGTTTCACAGATTACCTCACTCCATGGCTGGAGTGTTTCGGACATTGTGTTGGTAGCATCAGCCTGTGATAAAAAACAGCGGGAGGACCTGTTGTCTCTACCAGGTTCTGAAATACTTGCAAAGGCATCCGCAGAAGAAATGACAACGGTTGATCTCTTTTTGTTGCTCTCTATTACCCACGGAGATGAACCGCGGCTGGTTGCTATGACAGAAACACTTAAAACTCGTCCCCCAATAGCTGCAGGAGATCTTGAGGTTGAAGATGCATGGCGTGCGGTCGCTAACGTTGTGAGTAATACAGAGTCACTTGCGACAGTGTGCCGTAGCTGTGCCGCAACATTACAAAGTGTTGATGAAAATATGCTTATGCGAGTTCTCGAAGTGGCTTTGACAGCGCCAAAACTTCCAAATATATTTTTTCGGGTTGTAGGAAAGTCGGTCCTACGTCTTGCAAATAGCATGGCTATTGAAAATGCTCTTCGCTGGTTGCAATTGTACGTTAACTGTCAAATTCGTGATGATAGTGTGGGTAAAGCACTTCTCGCCAAGACGCGCACACGTAGTAATTATGCAGCTGGTATAACAGACAAAACTATTCGAAAAGCAGCCGCCATGTATGGGAAATCGTATACATTTCAGCCCAAAGTAAAAAAACATCAAGAAAAAGTAGAATGGTATCCACTAGGGTCTATTTAACTTCTTTTGTCGATTCAGTTAATACTGAGATTATTCCTACTTGATTTATGGAGTCCCCGCCACGATCCGAAAGTAAAGGAATATATACATCCCGAAAGTAATTGATGATAAATTGTGGTGAAGATTGATGGTGGCGGTGATAGTTATCATTCTATTTTTATTGCATTCCTCCTTTTTATTTTATTTATTATTCTATTATGTCTTCTTGTATTTCTGTATCCATATTTTTTTGTTCCTGTTGCTGATGTGTACGTGTCTGTGTGTAATTTTCCTCTGTATCAGTGGAGCATTTGTACACATGTATTTTTGCTTTAGTATACTTTTTCTTTTTTAGTGAGACCTTCACTTTGCCTATGATGCTTCGGAGGACCATGACTTTTCTCCGCGCTGCAGGAGAGGCAGTGAGTGTGTCGAGTGAGCTGCAGAAGCTTCTGCCTTCTTTGCTTCCGCTTCTCGATCCACCCATCCCGAGAGGGAAAACTGTTTCTGCTGCGCACATCATTGTTGCAACCAGCAATAGTAGCAGCAAACGAAGTGAGAGACATTTACCGGAGTGCCCTGTACTCGCGCGTACTTTGCCACTTACCGCAGTGGTGGATCACGTAGCCTTTATGAAGCGTCCATGTCTTTCATGCCTCAGACAACGGGTCCATTTTCTCGCATCTGAGGAGTTCTGCAAGAACCTTGAACAGAAATGCACACAGGAAGGTGGTACTTTACCAGCAGAATGGGAAAATATTGTAATGAAACAGTTTGGCACCCTTACACATCTTGAGAAGGAAATTATGATGTACGCAACGAGCCGACGTGAACCTGGATGGACGTGGCTTGTATTTGATAAAGAGCGTATTGAGGGGCATCGTCTCGTGGTAATGAATCTCCCTGCTAATAAAACACCCCTGATATTGGGACTTTGGCCATTGGCAGTTATCAACATGACAGAGAGTGCATTATTATCTGCATTGGAGTCAAAACCAGTTGTGACTAACGCAAAAGTGACATATCCATCTTGGTCTCGAGCGGCACGTAATCCATTAGCAGCAGTAACACCAACAAGAAATGTGGGTCTTTCCGGTACACCCACAGATATCACAGATAACAATAGTAAAAGTCTTTCTGACCTGCGTAAGCAGGTTGCCCAAAAGGCGGTATCGAAGCTTAACTGGAACTTTATTCTACAACAATGGCAACAGGCAGAAGCTTATTATGCTTCTACCGCTCGTGAAGAGAAGATTCGTGCTCAGCGTACCAAACTTGAGCGAGAAGCAGCCTTGGCAGCGATGAGCAAGTTACGGGATAGTGGGGCTACCATACTTACATCCGACAGTGTTGAAATTATAACTGGAGGTAGTAATACGGGAGCTTCAAAGGTGGATAAAAAAGAAGGAGAAAAATTGTCTACCCAGACAACACAGAAATCGACAGTAAATGTTGGGGAAGAGACTACTACTACTACTACTACCACCAGCACAACAGTAGAAGAAAATAAAGAGACATCAACTAAAACTGAGAGTACTGGAGTTGATGAGGATCCAAAGTCTACACAACTTCCAGATGGTACGTGGCAGTATTTGTACAAAAATGGTGATGTTACCCTCTTGCGACCTGACGGCACACGAGTCTTTAAAAAGAAGGAATTGACTACGACAGCCTTTGCCGATGGGAGCACACTTTATGAGTATCCCAATAACACTTCCATCCTTGACCGTGTAGATGGGGTTCGTGTAACCACTTTTGCAGATGGCACAAAACAGGAGGAGCGTTTAAAGTGAATCTGCTTCACACTTGAAAAGAGAGAAAAAGAAACAGGAAAGGAGTAAGGGAAAAGGGAAGACTCCTGGTTACCAATCAACTCCGCCTAAAAGAAGGGAAAGGAGGAGGAGGAGGAGGAGAGGAAGAAGAAGGAAAAAAAAAAAAAAATGAGGCACATCCACACATATGCACACATACACACACAATAAAACAAAACACAAAAAAAAAGGAAAGACACTCTTGGATAAGACGTTGTGTTTCTTTTTTCTCTTGTGTTTACGTGTTTTGGTGCCTAAAGATCTCGAAAGACCACTACAAAGCATTATCGTTTTCTTATTTTCACACCCTGGTCTTTCCCCCTTTTTTCAGTACTCTGTTCCACCGTCTCAACTTTTCCTCTCCCTTCCTTTTCTTTCCCGCCTTCCCAAACCACAACAAATTCTGCTAATTATCGTACAGCCCAGGGCAATGTTTGCATGCTCACGCCGTCATTTCTCGGCTGCACCGTTGTTGTGGTTCGGCCGCCGCGGTGTGTGTGCGGTGCCACATCCGTCGAAGCGCCACCGCGGCGGCGAGGACGCCTATTTTGTGCACGCGAACGGCATTGGCGTTGCGGACGGCGTTGGCGGCTACGCGCGGTCCGGTGTGGACCCGGCGGTGTTCACACGCAACGTGATGCGCTTCACACTGCGGGCCCTGCAGGAGGACGCCGATCACGGCCGCATTACGGCCCTTGAGGCCCTCAACAGTGGATTCAAGGAGGCGCAGCGGCAGCAACAACCCGGCGGGTGTCCGGTCGCGCTGGTCACACTTGTCGACGGGCGATTCGCGTCGGTGCTCAATCTCGGCGACTGCGGCATAATGTGTCTGCGCAGTTCGAAGCTGTTTGTGGCGACGGAGGCGCAGCAGCACTACTTCAACTGCCCGTATCAACTGCCGGAGGACCCACCCTCGGCGGGAGACCGCATGACATTAGAGGTGAGTGAGGGGGATGTTTTCATGTGTGCGAGTGATGGATTGCTGGATAATGTGGATGCGAGCGATATCGTGCAACACCTAGGCGATGTGCAACGCGATGGATGTCAGCGCGTTGCGGAGGTACTCGCGGAAACAGCCTGCAAAAATGGGGCTGATAAGAATTTTCTCTCCCCCTTTGCAAAACATGCAAGAAGTGTGGGTTACCGCTACACTGGCGGGAAGCAGGATGATGTTACAGTTGTCGTGGCACAACTGACGCGACTTGATGTAGAACCAAATCCCTGCCCATCTCTTATAACGGAACTTCTTAAGATTCCCAATGAATGAGATGCATACATGGTTCAAATCATCACTGAGGAGAAAGAAAAAAGAAAAAAAACAACAACAACATCGGTATTCAAATGCACATACATACAAACAAAGAAGAAGAGAAAAGAGGGGAAAATATCTAAGGGAAAAAAGTAAGGAAGAAAGAAAAGAAAGAAAAAAAAAAAAACTTGTGTGATTTGTTTCTTGGATGGTGTTTTTTTTTTTTTTCTCCCTTTGTAATTTGTAATGTTTCTGCAATTACCAAGCACTATATTATTATTATTTTTGTTATTTTTTTTTTTTTTTAATGTTATCTTTTCCGTCTCCTTTGTGGGTAATTTTTTTTTTCTCTGTTTTTTCTCTTTTTCTGCCTTTTCTGTGTTTCTTTCTTTTTTTTTTTTTGTTATTATTTTGAACTGTTTGATGGTTGAGATCGTTGTTGAGGAAGAAGAGAGAAAACCAAGTAGTAGTGTTAGTGGTGGTGTGACAATCATTAGCAGCCGCAACAACAACAACAACAACAACGACAACATCCGCCAGTGAAAGTGAGGGGTAAAACTATCATGGAGACAAAGTTTAATGCAGCACTGAAACGTTGTGGACAATGTACGACATACCAGGAATTGTGTGATTGCTTTGATGCAACTGTACGTCCACTATTAGAGGGATTACTTCGTACGGCATTGGTGAAGCCAGTTCGAGATCATGTGAGTCCGGCAGAGTGTAGCCCGCAAGTGTCGCAACTGCGTGAGATGTTGGAAAACATGAATGCTGGAGATGACCTGTGGTTCTTTTTATACCGCGCTGCCGCTACTTTTTTAGAGCGTTCTGCAAAGAAACGCACACGTGATGGCAATGTAGACATGTCTACATTTGTTGTAAACGTATTTGTACTCTTTTACGGTCATGTGCCACCAAAGCTGTCAAGTCTCCATTTACAGTGGGGATTCCTACGCAAGGAGAAGTCACAATATGAGTCGAGTGAGTCTTATGTCCACTCTAATGCAGCGGAGCGACGAAAGGCGTTAATGACATCTGTTCTCTCTGTATTTTCTGAACGTGCCCATCGTCATTACTTTACTGGATTGTGGATGCCATGTTTACATCACGCCGCAGCTGCCTCATTACATTTACATTTGCTACATCGTATGGGTGATGTCATTCTTCCATACTTGACAAACCCACTTGTGGTTGCGGATTACTTGAGTGGTTGTTTCGCTAGCGGAGGTCTTGTTGCCGTACTCGCACTTCATGGTATTTTTCTTCTTGTGCTTGATCACGGTCTAGAGTACCCTCAATATTACCAACAGTTATACACGCTTCTTACTCCAGACGCCTTTTCCTCTCGTCACCGCTACGATTTGTTCCGTCTCCTTGATTTGTCTTTGAGTTCTATTCGTGTGCCGTCGTATGTAGCGGCAGCCTTCATAAAAAAAGTTGCCCGTGTTGCAATGTTGTCACCCTCACCTGTTCTGTACTTTGTGCTTCCATTTATCCGTAAGGTTCTTCAACGACACCCTAACTGCTTGGCGTTGATTCACCGCTCCACAAAGGAGGCCGTGATACCAGAGGATGACAAGGATACCGTGAAGGGAACAGCAGGAGTTAGTGAAGATGCAAAGAAGGAGGCATTGCGATTAACAGCAACACTCTTTGATGGAAATGATCCATTTTTACCAGATGAGAGTCTTGAGCGGTGTCATGCACTGCACAGCACACTGTGGGAACTCACCGCACTGGAGCGGCACTTCATCCCTACAGTGCCGTTAATGGTCTCAGCCTTTGCAAGTACTGCGGAAGATCAGGCACCACTGCGCTTTGAGAAAACATACGCACGTCTATTCACTGCAGAGGTAACACGGCCCATGTCAAACGCACAACTGCCAACTGTTGCCTACCGCGAACCAGAGGAAGACTCCACCGACGCTATACTCCTTGTCTGAGTGATAAAGTTCATCGCCTAAATTACAATTACGCTAGGTATTCATTACATATACATGTAATATGTATATGTATACGTATGCACGGGAATTCGTGCATACTATGTGCCTCTGTGTAGACTAAAAAGAAAGAAAAAAAAGAAAAAAAAAAGAAATTTGTCGTATAATTCTCTTGATGAGCAAAAAAGAAAAAAAAAAATGACTCGGTGCTTAACTGATTTGAAAGTGAAGTGTTCTCATATTTATTTATTTAATTGCTGGATTTTTTTTTTACTTTATTCGTGAATCGTTATCTTTTTTTTTCTTTATTTTTTTGTTTTCTTAATAACATCACGTGGACGTTTACGATAATAATAATAAAAAAAAAGCAAAAAGAAACAACTAAATAAAAGGGAAACCGAAAATAAAAGAAAAGAAAGAAGAACAACCACAAACTGATTAAAAAGGATTAAGTGAAAAAAAAAAAAGAAAGGGATGTGGAGATGGCGTTTGTGTAGTGGTGTAGCGCCGAATCGACTGATGGCTTGCAGTAGTGGCCTTTCTCACTCCTTCCGTAGCAGCAGTACTGGGCAGCCACCCGCGTGGATCTCCCAGTTGCGTAGTGAGGCCAAACAGTCTGAAAAGGCCATTTCATACGATGTGAAGATATACGATGAGATGGCATGGCGACGACGGCGGTTTTCTTTCGACAAGGATTTGTGGGATCCCTCTCGCATGAGCAGCATTGTGCGACGCCGATTGTGTCTTGGCAATGAGGAGGCGGAGTACACCATCATTGGCGAAGTATTCGCATTCCCAGACCGCGAAGACGCACCTGTTGTAAATGACCCGAACCACACATGTAAACTACTATGGGATCATAACAGTCCTACAGAGAAGTTGCTTGTCCAGTTATCAGAACACTTTCCACCACTCTTGTGGCATGCGGTGAAGCCTACACTTGAATCTTTAAAGCGCATCTTCAGCGAGTTTCTTGAAGTAGATGCACAACACATGAAAAAATATCTTCCTTACTATGAGTCTGTACAAAATTCGGTAGAGACAGCAGCAAATGAGACACTCGCTGGTACACTTAGTCCTTCCAGTTTGAAGAACCGATTTGTAGAGGATATGCGTCGACGTGATCCTAAGACTCTTGAGTTGGATTTTCCTAACGAACACAATCTTTTCCTTGGTACTGCACCACACTTTAGACTTGTAGAAGATAAGATGATGAAGTCTAATCCGTTCGTCTTTGGTTGGCCACTTTTACTGAGCGATGGTAACGAATACCTTGATGGTACACCGTTACGTATGGCTGCTTTTCGTACTGTGTATTCCAAATCTATACTAATGTTTCATACACGTTTGGATTTGCAGGTAGATCACCGCCTATCTTGTCTTGAGGATGGAGACAATGAAGAAATACTACTGGATGTCCCTATTTTTTGCACAGTTAACTATCCTCAGAACACCCGTATGTGTGGCGGAAGACCACTTGTACAGCGGTTTAACGATACTATGGGTACTTCATACCCACTTGATACCCCTGTTGATGTACTCGCTGCGTTGGCGAAAGAAAATACCGTAAAGGGAGAAAAGGAATTACTTGAGGAACTTAAATTTCTTACAGTAGCATCTGAACGGACTCCAGATACAGAACGTGTTTTTCGCGTCTCTGAAGATCAATTGAGTTCTAATCGTATTATTGGCTTACTTGCTTATACCATTATTTATCTTGCCTTAGTAAACTACGACCGTTTTGTTGAAGATGTGTTTAATGTTTACAAGATACACAAGAGTGATTTGGTGCGGGTGGCATGCGCAAAGGGGGCACATATTGTTGAGCGTCCAGATCTCATCAAGGATCTTATTGCGGTAGAGCCAGAAGGACGTTGTAAGAAGTTATTACAGGCATCCATGCATGGTGTCACAGAAGCAACAACCACGGTATCCTAAAAAAACAAAAAAAAAAAACATGCATTACACACATACAGAGAGAAAAAGATAAAGAGATATGCGGTATCACACATGCGTTGTATCTCTCTTTTTTTTCCCTCTTTTTTTTTAAAAAAAGAATCTCTTTGTATTTATCCATCTAACTACTTATTTCTCTTTTTCTACGTGTGTCTATATCTGCCAATTTGTTACTTATTCTTTTATCACTGAGGTTAGACATGGCACACGGTAAACATTCATTTTTTTTTT